AATTTGGCTTTATTGATTGTGCTGTTATTAGAAATATCGGTACTTTAATTAGAAACATCGTACTTTAATTAGAAACATCGTACTTTAATTAGGTACTTTAATTAGAAACATCGGTACTAAATTAGTTTAGAGAAACAAAAGAGTTCAAGAAAAGAGTGCAAATCAAATTACTAAAGGGTAATCTTTTCAGAAGATTATGAGAAAAAAAGGACTTACTTGTAACATCATGCTTTATAATAAACAAAGGTTTTATTCAATCTGCTGAAGATGCTAAAAAATATGATTATTACGATTATTTGACAACTAGTAGCGTGTATCAACAAATAATAGGCCTCCCTGCAAAATATAAATGAATTACTTTTCTGCTAACCCCGCTTCCCCCTCTTTATTTTCTTCCCTTGACAAAAATTGTAGATAAAAACAAAACCTTATTTTTAAATACAATTTTGATTTAATTAAATAGAAACAAGTATGTTACATTATGTAAGTCTAGTAAGGAGAAAATCTAATGAATGTTTTTTCTTGTTTTGATAACTGCAAATTAGTGGACGCTTTTTAAATTTAATTGAGCTGCTATTTCTGTTTCAGTAGCTATTAGGTCTAATGCTGACAAAATGATTTGCGCCATTGTTGTTATTAAATGCGTTTTTATGTGCTTAAGGATCTTTTTGCAATTGCTACGTTAATGGATAATGTTTCAAAAAAACAGGTTTACAAAGAGAAAATTTGATACACTTAATTAATTAACTAATTATAGATTATTTTAAAAGATCAGTTAAAATTGTAATCTTTGTTTATTTTTAATGTCATTAATTATTTTTTTCAATAATATTTATGGCCAAAATATCTAATTGTTGAATATTGAGAAGTGTCTTTTGTGCTTTAAACCATTGAAACATTCATAACAATCAGTGTGGTTTAAAAAAAAATAGTTCTATCTAACTCACAGTAGTTCAACTTATTATGTTCATTACAGATGCCTTCGAACGATCAGAATTTATTTTAGGCATATTTGCAATAACAGCAATAGCTTATTTTATGATATGAACCCAATGGGCACGGGACGTAAAAAAGACGGCTTTTAAACGACTTTTGAACGTTTTGGACGTTTTTTGAACGATTAAAAGATGTCTTTTTTATGTCTCGTGCCCACTGGGAATATTCAATTATTGAAAATTTCTGACTCGGTTAAATCAAATAAACTTTCAAACAATATTAAAAAAAGTAAGTGGATTTTTTTCACTGAACTTTTAAAACATAACTACAATGTGAAATTCCTGTGATGAAATTTATATGGAAAGATTTACATCAAATTTTTTTAAATATTATAGTAGATGAAAATCTTTCATGAAAAAACTACATTGGAAACTAGTTCAATAAACTTGCAAAAAGTATTAGAATTTCATATAAAACGGAAAGTCTTTTAAAAGAAATTCAACTATATTACTCATTAATTCACTACCCTTACAAAAAAACCCAGCGAACTTCCAGTGAAAAAATGTTCCAAAACCCAGCGAACTTCCAGTGATCTTTTCCAGTGATCTCTAAAGTTCACTGGAAATTTCCAGCGAACTTGTTCCAAAACCCAGCGAACTTCCAGCGAACTTTTCCAGTGATCTTTAAAGATCACTGGAAGTTCGCTGGAAATTTCCAGCGAACTTGTTCCAAAACCCAGCGAACTTCCAGTGAACTTTTCTAGCGAATTTTCATGTTTATGTATAAAAATAGATTCGCTGGAAGTTTTTTTAAAAAAGATTTTTTATTTTTGCTATAAAAGTTTCAAAAGTTTATAAACATTTTAAAATTTTTTAACCAATAAACGCGAAATAAGAGAAGTTAAGCGCGATAAAAAAGTAATATATTTATTTTAAAATATCGAGTTTTATAAATTAAAATACAATGTAGGATTAGATTATCTTAGGTATAATTACAAATTATACCATTACTAATAATGCTACTATTGTAAATAAAATTTAGTTGAAACCTCTGCATTCTCAACAGAAGCATGTTGCATGTTTTATTAATTTTAAAGAACGTTTCACTCATGCCCAAGGTCGGCGAAAATAGGTGTCACGTGGGGGGTGCCATTACAACTATTGCTGACTAAAAAAAAAAAGGTGCTCTTATTTGAAATTTGCCGTCTGACTGGTCTACATTTGCCGTCTGACTGTCTAAACTTGCCGACTGATTTGTCTAAAAGGTCTGCCAAGAACTATATAATTTTTTAATACATTTAAACTACAAATATTTTTAATAATTTAAAAATATAATTTTATACTTTTCTCATCGAAACTTCTCTCATCTCGATTATGAATTAAAAGTGATTAAAAGGACATTTATAAGGAAATTAATGTAGTTTACATATGTATAAATTCTTTATCTTAACCAGCTACTGTTTTTTAACCATTCTTCTTAGTTTTATTTCTCAAAAAGGATTACTTTCAAAACCTCTTAATTGTTTTATCAATTTTCTTGTGAACAGCTTAAAAAGTTTGTTTTGATGTTAGACCATTAGCTTATTCTATTTTCTTTAGTATGTCAGACCATAAAAAATCTGATGCGGTCCAAATAATCATTTAAGTAGTATTTAATAATATTGTTCATCTATTTATTCAACATTATGCTTCATGTAGTAATTGGAGTCAGTGAAAACTCTAACTTTGCAACCATAAGGTCTCAGCCATTCTAAGTAACGGTTTTTTCTTCTATGAACTTAGTGAAGGTCTTATTTGAAAATAGTAATCTGGATACCTGCGTGATAACATATTCATAGGAATGTAGCTCTGATGGAGGTAAATAATGGTGCAAATAATCCTAACATTATAATGATAAGCTTTAGATCTAGGAAGAACTTCCATCCATGCAATTTGAAGAAGAGGATAATTTGGCCATAATAGTAGGTGCTATAGCTCTTTAACATGTTGGACAATTGCGAGTCAAACAAATTTATTTATAGTTAAGTTAAAGTGGTTGCATTGTAGATCCTCAAGTTTTTCTGAGTTAGAAAGGCTCATTATAATCTTAATTGACTCTTAGCTCCTGTCGCTATCAATGAATTATTTTGATACAATTGATTCTTATGAGAAAAGATTCTCAAAGAGATCAATATTTCTTTGTTTTCACATTTCATCAACAAACTATATCTTTAACACATACTAAATATTTTTGAACCTCAGATTGTTTAGCACCTTAATAAAATGGTAACTGCTGAACGTGATAAAAATGATCTAGTGAATGGGGCTTTCTATTCACAACAATCTCCATATTACTTTCAAATCCTGATTAATCAAAATCTTTTCTTATTTCAGCCAACATGCTTTTAATTACACATTTAGACAAATTATGTGTTCTTTTAATATTTAATACTGTTTCTGAACTAATCTTTTTTGGAAAGCAACTCTCTCCAAGGAGTACATGTAATAGCGTTTTACATGTTGATAGTTTAACTTTCCCTGTTTTTCATCCCCAATAATTGTTTTTAGAACATCTAATATTATCTGTTTAGACAATTTAAGATCTTTCAACCTAATAATTTTTACCACGTTTATAGAGGTTGATTTTCAATTGCATGGGTATCTAACAACTGTTCTTATATATTAGAGCATAATTTTTATTTTCACACAAGCATATCTTTTCACGCATGGAGGCATTAGTATTAGAACTTGAAGATGAGTTACTTTCATTTTTCTCGGGTATAATTGGGTCAATGTATAATCTTAAATTAAGCTCTAAGTTACTTCTAGCATCACTTTCCAGACCATAGATTAGACATTGACATAATTTAGTTACTTTTATTTTATTTGACAAACATTGGCAAGTTTACTCCTTTGCCAAAAAATATTTGATAGTTTTCTCTTTCCGTAAAAAATAATTGTTTATACCTTGTATTTCAAAAATAAAATCATATATATTGCAATCTTGCATTTTGGACTCATTTCCATTAAGAAAGGCCACTTTCACTTTATTATCTAAACCTCCATCTACAAGCTTTTTTACTTAAATTTGTAAAACAATCTGAGCTGGATTATTTGGACTATTATAATATGTCTTTCCTGATAATTTTGTGATGGAAAGTTCCAGGTACCTTCAACTTCAACCTAACCTCTTGAAGCACTGTCTTACTTAACATGAATATTTCAAATATTTACAAAGTAATTATATTTGATATTCTTTGTTCAAATATAAAGTCAAAGATGCTCACTTGCTTTTCATAACTTAAACTTTGTAAAAGAAAAAAACAATTATATATTACAAAATACGAAATTTTCAGTTGAATAATTCACAAATTTGCATTCCATATTGTGAAGTTTTCTTATGAAACAAAATAACTTTGAAACATTTTGACTTTTGCATTGGAGACTTTTGAAATGAAATTATCATTCTTTAAAAAAAAACTAAACGAAATAGTTATATAATATAATATATATAATATATTTTTATACTTTTAAAAATATACTATTTTTTACCCGCTTCATAATTCAGAGTTTGTTAACTTAAAGACAGTTATAGTTTAAAGTTATATATTTAAACTTGTGTTTTCGTCAAATATATATATATATATATATATATATGTATATATATATATATATGCATATATATATATATATATATATATATATATATATATATATATATATATATATATATATATATATATATATATATATATATATATATATATATATATATATATATATATATATATATATTTTAGGGTGTATCGAAAAACAACCTTTTATAAATTTCAAATTGTAATAGAGCGGAAAAGTTGCATAATGATATAAAATGTAATTGTGCCAAATTATTTTGTATTTTTTTATGTCTTCAAACCGCGCTAGGGTTTTATTTTTTGTAGAAAAACACGTTTTCTGATCCTTTTTACAAAATAAAAATAAAAAATTCTATGCATATACTGGAGTTGTAATAGAGTTTAAACATTAAACAATGACTAAGTTAGAAATAGTTACAATTTTTAAGAAAATATTTTAATGTCTTCAGTTGACGCTAGTGTGCTGAGTTTTGACGAAAAAACACTGTTTAATTAGTTTCTGGAAAACAAGCTTAGCAGTCCATAATGTACAATTAAAGTTTTAATAGAGTGGAAAATGTTTTTGAAAAATGTTTAAAGTTGAGCTGTAATAAAGTTCAACTATCTGATTCATTTGTCTCTGTCTCAAACTGTCTTTTTGTGTTGAATATAGGCATTTTTTTTCGCGATGCAAGTCTTGCACGAATGAAGCCATCTCTACTAGCCAAACCGCAAACTTGATCTGAAGCTTCGATTACAAGTTTGATGCATCTCTCTACTCCTTGAGTATGGCATGGAAAATGCTGCACATCTGGAAGATTTTTTTTTTTTTTTTTTATTTTAATTCACCTCCTCAAGGCCGAGAAGGCCACTACAGACGAGGAGGCTACTTATTCGTGGCTATAACCCTCTCTCAACTCTATAACTCCGAAACACGAACCTTGACGAACAAGGCCGCTGCGCGGAGAAACGAGTTGAGCGCGGTACTACCAGGGACGTGGTGGGGATCGAACTCGGAACCACTCGTTTATGAAGCGAGCGCTCTACCACTACACCACTACCGCATAAGATTACCATTTGTTAACATTTCAATTAGATTTTCATCTGAAATGTGAGTGGTAATCGGAGGTTCACTTAGTTCACATTTAATCCAATCAATAAGGTCTATATAGTCTGTTGCTTCAAAATTGATTTCTGGTATAGAGAACTTTCGAACTTTGTTTATTTTGATTGATCTTGCTTTCATTATTTGTTTTAATGCAAATTTTCTCACATTTAGACGAGCATCCGATATCATAGCCAGAAGCATATTTTCTGGATGTGCAAAAAAAGCATTCCTTTGTATAACTGGATCGATGATACTTTTTATTTCACTACTGACATACCTGGATAAATTGATGGTTAGCCATAAATGTCTAGCACCTTCCGTGCATGAGGGATCATACCTTATATTGAACCACATTTGGCAGTAAACTCTAATAACTATTTCTCTCAGCTTGTGTGACGGTTCGCTACATCCAACATAATACCTCAATATTTTGTTTGCAGTGGTCACCCACCTGGCATGGTTAAGTTTTCCAGGATTTCGGTTAGCCAAAGCGTTTGGACAATGACCTGTAGATATAGCTTTGCAAATATCAAGTAAGTATTTTTGATTAGAACTAAGAGATTTTTTGTCTATTTTTGGCAATGTGATACTGACAGGAATGTAGTTGACAATTGGCAAGGTGTCACACAATTTAATTTCTCTTCCGATCGGTCCAGACCACCCGTTAGGTCCTGATGTAGGTCCATCTAGGTTTTGAATTAGATACCGTAGAGGCAGTTCATTAGCACGTATTTGACAAATAAACCAGTGGACAGGTCTTTTGAGTTCTAATTCACGAAATCCGGTATTGACAACTATTCCGTCACAACCCATGGCAATTAATTTGGATGTATCAATGTTGTTCTGATTTAAAAATGTTTTTATACTTGTCTTAATGCTGTATCCATGTCCTGATACATTCTCTACATGCCCTAGATACTTTGACCCTGGTTCTTGTACTAAAACTACATGTTCTTCTTTGATAGTTTTTCGTATATTTTTTCCCTTGTTTGTATCAATAACAAATGTTGTATCTTTTCTTTCATCAAAATATAAACCTTCTAACATTTGAATATTTTCATGATCTAAATGTTGCATTTTAAGTCTGCTTTTCTTTCGTTCTTTTTGAATCTTATTTTTATCAATTACTTTAGATTGGTCTCCTTTTGAAATTATGTTTATGTCTTCCAGCACAGCACATGCTATAAATGCAGCACCTCTGCTTGAAACACCAACTCTATTGCAGGCTTGTGCTAAGGATAGTAACGGTGATCTCATTTGTTCAGTTTTATCTTTTCTGTTTCTTTTTTGTTTGTGGCCTTCAGCTGTGTCTAAATAATCAGCATCTGATTCTGAGTCAGTATTCCAAATCACAGTGTCATCAGAGTCAGAATCTTGAGATATAGAATAGAAACTTGAATCATGAATGCAGCTTGATAATGTTCATTGAGCTTCAATACCTGTAATAGCACAAGGCTGTTTTGATGGGTTAGACGGCAACGGGCTATTTACTCTGTTTTTTCTTGCTTCTTTTTGCCGTAATCTTAAAGTAGCTTGAATATCGAGTCCTTCCATATACATAATTCTCATAAATCTCTGATCGCTAAGAAACTCATGTTCTTTCTCTGGTACCTTCATTGCTTTTTCACAGATACATTTAGAAAAATCAAGGCATTTGCATGCTGCAACGTCAAATAAAGTATTTTCTGCATCCTTTTTAAATGTTATTATTTTCGACTTCAATTTGTCTGTATGTTTCGTTTTATTAACATACTTTATAATATTTCTATACTTTTGATTGTAATCAAGAAACATTTTTACAATGCGTTTATAAGACACAGTAGGTATCGATGCTTTTCCCCACAAATTTTCTATTTTGTGCGCCAAATTTTTAGGTATTTCTTTCAAAGAAGGTTGTTTTCCACCAGTTTCCACTCTCATTTTCTGCATTGACAAAAGATAACTTAGCGTTGGCAAGACATTTGCTCGTAAGTCTGCTGGTGAACCAAAGATAGGACAAGTAGACTTTTTTCTTGTCACTGCAGCGGAAGACATTTTTGCCTTTAAAATTTTCTTTGATTTTAATTTATTTTATTATAAAACAGATGTACATCAGAACTAATAAATTATAATCTGTGCTTTTAGCTAATTTTCTAATAATGCTGATGGTGATGGTAATAAATGACGTAATTAGTGACATTTTACATACATACTAATGTCATTTTAAAATCACCGCTGTAACCATTGGCATTATTTAGGTTATTACATTTTAATTACTTTTGTTCCATTGTTGTAACAGTGAAGACAGGTGACGATAAGTGGAAGCATCAACAATATAATTAAAATTGTTTTAAATAAAAAAAACAGTGTTTTTTCGTCAAAACTCAGCACACTAGCGTCAACTGAAGACATTAAAATAGTTTTTTAAAAATTGTAGCCATTTCTAACTTAGTCATTGTTTAATGTTTAAACTCTATTACAACTCTAGTATTTGCATAGAATTTTTTTTTTTTATTTTGTAAAAAAGGTCAGAAAACGTGTTTTTTCTACGAAAAATAAAACCCTAGCGCAAACTGAAGACATAAAAAAAATACAAAACAGTTTGGCACAATTACTTTTTATATCATTATGCAACTTTTCCGCTCTATTACAATTTCAAATTCAAAAAAAGTTGTTTTTTGATACACCCTAATTTATATATATTAATATAAGGGTAGCCTCCAATGTTCTGTTATTGTTAATAGTGTTGGCAGTGGCAGTACATATATAATAACCACTTTTGAAGACAGTCAAATTGGTTATAATGATAATACTTCTACAAGGACCACAAGCACTGTTGGACCATCTTTGTTCCACCCATTTAAAATAAGTGACTTTGAAACTTTTTGAAAAACTTTTCTTTTACTTAGCCAATGGTGGCTTTTAGGTATGAGCCATGGGGTTGTAGCCCCCCTCCTGGGAATTTTTTTCAGGAATTTTCTTTTGTAAATTGACTATTATACAGAATTGGACTATTAATTATACATATATGTACTAGATTATTACACCAAAGTACAAAAAATTAAAAAAGAAAGTTACTTATAAATGAAAATTGGGACCTTTTTTTTTTTATTTATTTAAAGACCTTTTTAAGCCCCTTCTTGGCGAGTGTTAAAGCCCGCCCCTGTAGTTAGCTGGAAAAGTTTCCTTGGCTGGCCATGCTGCCTTTTCATTGGATATGTCAAAAAAATAGTGGAAATTGAATATTTTCAGTGTCTGTTTTGAAAATAAGAATGCCAAATGGGGAATTTTTCTTGCTAGATTGGCTTGTATGTAGTCTAGAAAAGGCAGCAGTAATTTATTTTTCTAGTTGATTATTTTAACTAGAAATCAAGTTCTACACTTATCTTTATCTGTTGCAATTATTGTACTACATTCAGAGGCGTGAATTGGAAGTTCGAATGAAAACTGATCATTCGAATGAACATTTTGTGAATCTAATCCTCAATAAAGCAGCCACCTGGAGAACTGGTTATTGTAAAATCCCCCCCCCCCCCTCCTGCTTCTCCAAGAAGAAGATTTTCAAGTCGGTTTTTGTAGGAATTTAGTCAGCTAGTCGGGTATTTGACACGATTCAGTCGGGTAAGTTTTAATTTTGAAGACCATTTTTTTTTTTTAAGAAGCCAGTCGGTACTTTTGAATGAGGGGCCAATTAAACAGGGTGTCACGTGATTCATAATTGCGATCAAACACAAAAAAGTAAACATTTTAACGCTAAAATATTTTAATTACATGATATCAGTGTAAGTGTCAGGTTTATAACATTTTTTAACTTGAATTGACAACTTGTGATATCAGGATAGAAATATTTCATTTATTACTAACTATTTTATAGTATTTTTTTTATTTTATTGTAATAGTTTAAAGTTTTTAATTTTAAGAAGGTGTATATTATACCGAATCTTAAAACCTATCATTTAATTTTGCAAATTATGGTAGTTTGTAAATTTATGTATTGCAATACCAATTTTAGTACTTTTAAATTACATCATAAAGGAATCTAGAAATAAAAATATTAAAAGAGATTCGAAAATATATAAGTTGCTTCTGGGAGGTCATTATTAATATCCATAAATCTATAATTACTCTATCTTCCAGAATTCTAAAAATATCCTAGTTTTTTAAATTAAACAAGCAATATCATGAATTTTTATTGTAGCATTTTATTACTGTTTCTGTGGTTCCTGAACAATCCTTAAAATACAAGTATACAACTTGGTTATTTTGTTGATTGAGACTGATTCTGCCATAAGATTCAGTACATAACACTAAAAGCTTATTTTTAATTCACTAAAACGAAATTTGCTAGCTTTAAAAGCAGTTTTTTGTTGTTGTTGCAGGACAAAACTTACATTTAAAATAGTATTTATGCTTATAATCACAAAGCTTTTTTACATTGTTTTTACATTGTTGTTATATTTTTACGTTGTGGACATTTGTGGTTCAAAATAATTCATTAGTTTGAATTATTAAAACACATTTATTATATTATATTATTTGCATCAAAAAGTAACAATTTTTAAAAATTGTCTTGTCTGAGCCCTAAATGTGTTTTATATAATAAAATTTTTTGGTTTTAAAAAATGGTTTTAAAAAATGCCTTGGTTTTAAAAAATATTTGAACAAAAAGGCCTTGGTTTTAAAAAATATTTAAACAAAAAAAAAAAGAAATTAAGCATTTAAAGGGTCTCTTATATATATGTAAAAAAGTTCTTCAAAGTAGGTTATCGTGGTATTCAAAAAAAGTAAAATCATATAAAAATTTCAAAAATAGTAATTGTTTCGTATAAAAATTTAGATTGTGTACTATGTTAATAAATAAATTTTAAGTTTGTTATGGCATAGCAAGCTATAATATAAAACCTTTGTTTCAAGTTTTTTTTGCCAACCTGATGACCTGATTATTTTTCTTAGTTCCGAGGGCTGTTACTTTAAAAAATAATTTGTTACTCAGGTTACGGCTCAATAGATGATAAAAAAAAATTAGAAACGGTTTCATCAATCAAAGAAGGCGAAGCCAAAAAGAAGTAAGCTAATAAAGAAAGAAAATCCAAGCAACAACAACAATATAAAATATTCTATAAGTGCAAGGAAAAATGTACATCTGTTTGTTCTGCAGCTAAACTTGTGTTACCATAAAGTTTTATGTAAATCTTCATGCAGTAAAGCATCATGCCATGGTGAAACCAATGGTAATCTTTTCATGCAGTAAAGCATCATGCCGTGGTAAAACTAGTGGAATTTTGTTAAATTATATTTTAACTGCATTATTCAAATTATATGATAAAAATCTTTTTAGTATACCA